GCTATACTGCGGCCCCTGGCAAGAGCCCGGGTAGGGCTTCAAAATAACGAAAAATTGCATCTCAGGAGAAGATGACTGATTGAAGAAGAAGAAGACACTTAAAATTTAATTACAGAAGTTAACGTAGACCCCATGCCTACCATACAGAAGTTAACGTAGACGCCATGCCTACCATTCAGAGGTTAACGTAGACCCCATGCCTACCATACATAAGTTAACGTAGACGCCATGCCTACCATACATAAGTTAACGTAGACGCCACGCCTACCATACATAAGTTAACGTAGATCCCATGCCTACCATACAGAAGTTAACGTAGACCCCATGCCTACCATACAGAAGTTAACGTAGACCCAATGCCTACCATACAGAAGTTAACGTAGACCCAATGTCTACCATACAGAAGTTAACGTAGACCCCATGCCTACCATACAGAAGTTAACGTAGACCCCATGCCTACCATACAAAAGTTAAGGTAGTCATCTGGAACCATACAGAAGTTAACGTAGACCCCATGCCTACCATACAGAAGTTAACGTAGACCCCATGCCTACCATACAGAAGTTAACGTAGACCCCATGCCTACCATACAGAAGTTAAGGTAGACCCCATGCCTACCATACAGAAGTTAACGTAGACCCCATGCCTACCATACAGAAGTTAACGTAGACCCCATGCCTACCATGCAGAAGTTAACGTAGACCTCATGCCTACCATACAGAAGTTAACGTAGACCCCATGCCTACCATACAGAAGTTAACGTAGACCCCATGCCTACCATACAAAAGTTAAGGTAGACCCCATGCCTACCGTACCACACCCTCATAAGTGCCGAGAAGGAAAAAAAAATAAACAACAGATTAGGAGCTTGAGAAAAAAAAAAACGATGTTTGGATTTAAAAGCAAAAACTATGTACTATTCATAGCGTATATGTCAGCGGGTGGTATCGTCAAGTCCTATTAAAGTTCAGGAGCAAATAAACAGCTGAGTTGAAACCAGGAGTCATTGCCCTTTGTACTCAAACTTGAAGACGGCACCAGAAGCAAGTTGGAGGGCAAACGAGTCTCATGTTACAGTCAAGTGTAGTCAGGGAAGCCGACACAAAGAAAATACCGAGAGCCTTCAGGCTCGAGATCACCCTTCCCCCCCCCCCCTCCACTCCCACTCTTTTCCACCATTTTTTAAGAAAAACATTCTAAGCAAAGAAGTCTAAAAAAGACTTCCCCCACCCCTCCCTCCTTAATAAAAAAGGATTGGGAAGAGAAAAGATAGAAAATGGTGTTTAAAAAAATCCATAATATATGCGTCAGAAAATCTCATGTGGCTTAACCTTAGTTTAAGAGCATAATAATAATGTGCTCAATGGCAAATATATATAATATAATATACAGGAAATAAAATAAAATGTATAAACATATACATTAAAAAATAATTTGTGTAGATGGACAAAGGGAATATAAAGATGGACGCATGATGTAAACGACTTCCCGGATAGGAGAATGCCAAGCCGGCATGGCTGGCAAAGGACCTAGTTTCATTCAAGCAGACTGTGATGAGAGCGACGTTCTGCAAAGGACCTGCTAGGTGATGATGATGATGGATAAAGAGAGCCGCTTAGACCTTTACAAATTACAAAAATGTAGATTGTAGGAGTCCGCCTCACATCAAAGAAAGTTTGTCCTGTGAGGGTTCTGCGGCCCCATTGTGGGGGGTGGGGGTGCGGGGGGGGGGCGGCGGGGGAGACAAAGACAGACCCATAGCCTCCCCAAAGAGCATGTCAGAGGACTCGACTAATTTAGGGCATCCTTCGAAGTCGGGGCGCTTCCGTCCGAGCAACAAGGAACAACCATCTGCTCACAAATAAACCGGTAAAACGGATGTACACGCAAAAGTCAGGCCTTGGCACAAAGCCACATTTCAAATGGGCGAACGACCAGGACTTTTCTCCGGAGCTTAAACACAGAGGCAAGAAATAGAAAAGTACATTTGGGATGGATTAGGGGAAGAGGGCGCTTGGCGTAAGGAACCCCCACCCCCCAGGTTAAGGCGCCTATGGTTAAAGTTATATGATGTCGGTAAAACCGAGTTGCATTGTTGTCTCACACCCACTTTAAAGCTCCGAAAATGGGTACATGATATGTCAAAGGAGATCTGATATGATAATCAGACCTGATATATCAATGACATTTTATATACCATCGCAAAATGTGATATTCATTCATTCATTCAGTAGCATGTCCCTCGCGGAACCTCGCTGCCATAACAACCCTCCGGAAAACCTTCCTATCATGAGCAAGATGTCCTGCGTCTGATACACCCATCTGGAGATCATCTGCCACATCCTGCACCCATCTTCTCCTTGGCCTTCCTCTTCCTCTCTTCCCAGGCATATACCCCTCCATTATTGTTCTCTCTAGACTTCCATGACGTTTCAACTGACCAAAATATTTCAATTTTCTTTGTTTTATTGTCTTTACTAGCCAACCCTCTTCAATATTCAGCTCTTGAAGTATTGATGCATTTGTTCTTTTCTTTACCCAAGATATTCTTAGAACCTGTCTGTAACATTTATATTCAAATATTTATATTCAAAAATGTGATATACCATTGCAAAATATGATATACCGTCATAGTTTTCAAATTGTTGAACAAAGAAAGAAAGGTTACATCTTTTTGACAAACTTCATGTTCTTCATTGTCTTCTTCTTCTTCTTCTTCTTCTTCTTCTTCTTCTTCTTCTTCTTCTTCTTCTTCTTCTTCTTCTTCTTCTTCTTCTTCTTCTTCTTCTTCTTCTTCTTCTTCTTCTTATTATTATTATTATTATTATTATTATTATTATTATTATTATTATTCTACTCCTCCTTCTCCTCTTACTTTTTGTTCTTCTGCTTTTCCTCATCTAAGCCTATTTCTATCCATTCTCCTAAGACTTCTTCTCCTTTCACCTACTGCTTCTCATTCTTTCCCACTGGACCATTGACCCACAAACAAACCTTGGCCATGCCTTCTCTAGTCTTGTTAATGATTGTTTGGATTATGCAGCTTGAGTTTCTCACCTGGGATCAGGTAGTCAGTCTCACGCTAACAGATATAAAAGAGAGATGGACAGAACACAAAAACAGCAAGATATATATATATATATATATATATATATATATATATATATATATATATATATATATATATATATATATATAAATGTGTTTTCCACGTCGTCTGCTGCAATAGGCAAATGATCCTAGACCTATATTTTTAGACCAACCGGCACTCGGTGGCTGATGTGCCACCAGTCACTATTACTTGCCAAGACTCTACATGGGGCCCATTTAGGGCTTGATTGACTGGGTACCTAGGTCATTTTTCAACAACAAATAAAAAAGTTTCGACTCCGTTTTCATTTGAAACCACGACTTTCAAATCCGAAGGCGAGTGTATAGCCGCTACAAAAGACTCCCAGAGTACATACAAATACAGAAATGAAACAGAAAAGACAAAATGAAAGACACAAAGGCCGTATTAAAGGGGAAGGGTGGGGGGGGGGGGGGGGCGGGATAATCCAAGAATAAAGAAAGATATCACTGCTGCTGTGGCTGTTACTATTAATATTACTACTATACTACTACTACTACTGCTGCCATTTCTACTGCTGTCATTATTATTGCTACTATTGCTGTTTATGCTACTATTACTATTGTTGTTGTTACTACTACTACTACTGCTACTAGTACTATTACTACTGCTGCTGCTACTGCTGTTGCTACTACTACTACTACTACTACTACTACTACTACTACTACTACTACTACTACTACTACTACTACTACTACTACTACTACTACTACTACTACTACTACTTACTACTACTACTACTACTACTACTACTACCACTACTACTACTTACTACTACTACTACTACTACTACTAATGCTGCAGCTGCTATTACTGCTATTGCTACTGCTACAAATGCTACTACCACCACCACTACTACTACCATTACTACTACTATTGCTGCTGCTACTATTGTGGAGTAATTAAGATTCTCGTAAGAAATAAGACAGAAACAGAAAAGAGAGAAGAGAAAAACCAGAAAGATAAAAGCAAGAAGGAACAAAAATATATACTAGCAACAACAAAAAAAGAAAGAAACCTATCAGGTAGCTTTTCAAACGAGTAATTAGTCCGGGTAATGGCCCTTGTACACGACCTTAAGTGGACCTTTGATAAACTGGGCTGTAATTTAGCCTAGCTTCTTACGGAGAATTCTAATCCATTGTTGATAGATCAGAAATAAACATCCGCGAAGTGACGCGGAGTGACACGGTCCGCACTTTTGTTACTACATCGCTGTTTTATTTTTATCTCCTTGTTTGTTTCCTCTCTGTAACCTTACTAGCTGTACTCTTGCTGAAGAACTGGAATGAGACCAGCCTTTAATAAACTGTTGCTGATAACATGTTTTTCTTTTGACTCAGGAATGTCGCTCAGTTTACATATTTTTGCGCCGGGATGAATGGTGGTGGGTGTTTGTATGTTTTTTCATTGCAGCCATTGGTGTGGTGGGGAGGGGTGGGGAGGGGTGGGGGGTGGGGTGGGTGGGGGATGCCTTGTATGGTTGTTTGTTTCAGCTGTGAATGTTTCTCTCCCCTCCCCATTCAACCATCTTCCTCCTTCTATCCTCTACTACTGCTGCTGCTGATGCTACTACTACTACTACTACTACTACTACTACTACTACTGCTGCTACTACTACTACTACTACTACTACTACTACTACTACTACTACTGCTGCTGCTGCTGCTGCTATTACTACTGCGCTAATACCAGTACTACTTCAGCTGCTGATATTACTGATACAACGGTTGTTGCCTGCATCTACCCCTCTTCCTACTGCTACTGCTAAACAACAGCTACCACTGCTATTACTACTACCACCACTAACATAACTACAACAGTAAGTGCTCGATAACGGCAACTGTATGTGACCTCCTTTTGTCCCCAGTCTTCGAGAAGAGGGACAAGATTGTCCTGGTCATGGACTACGCCCCTGGCGGCGAGCTCTACGATTATCTCAACCAGATGGGCAGGCTCAGCGAGCAGGAGGCCCGGAGAATCTTTCGCCAGATCGTCTCTGCTGTCCATCACTGCCATCAGGTACTGTGCTGACGTTGTTTATGTTGTTGTGGTTGTTTGTTTTCTTTCTTAATCTTAATGGATGTTTATTATTATTATTATTATTATTATTATTATTATCATAAACATTATCATTATTATTATTATTATTTTTAGGGTTTTTAATTTTCATAATGATGATGTTCGATGCTTCAGCTTTAATTCATCAAAAACAAAGGAAATCCGGGAGTTTCTGGGATAGTCCAATATTCTAGGGGTGTAACGTTTTCACATGAACGCTGTAGCTAAAGTGTGGCGAGCCAATAGCAAGAGAAAGCTTGCATGCCTAGGCACGAAAATTAAACTCATTAAAACTAACCCTAAGCCCAACCTACAACACACAACTATAGTCACAATATTGGACTTTCCCGGAAACTCCCGGATTTCCTTTCTTTAGGGCAAATTAAAATTGAAGTACCCGATGTTCTTACTACTATCAAGAACATCAAGTAAGACTAGCTAGAAAACACATAAATAAACTTCTTATTATTTTTCCTCTTTTTTCTTTTTTCTTCTTCTTTTTCTTCTTCTTCTTCTTCTTCTTCTTCTTCTTCTTCTTCTTTCTTCTTCTTCTTCTTCTTCTTCTTCTTCTTCTTCTTCTTCTTCTTCTTCTTCTTCTTCTTCTTTTTCTTTTTTCTTTCTTCTCCTCCTCCTTCAAAGCATTAGGTCTGCTGTGTTCGTAAATTGTTGCTGTTGTTATTCGACCTATGCTTGGTTAATATAAATGTATGTATCCTATGGTTCCATTTCAATGGTCTGAGAAGAATTTTGTCTGTATTCCATTGTTGTGGATTTCAAGCTGTAAAATAGACATATACCATGAATGACACCTTTTTTGGAGTGCTTAGCTGGGCGTTTTCTTAATACACTTGTTTCCATCGCGAGGCGCAAACGTCATTTGGAGGTGACAGGTTCGATTCCCGGCACGGTAACTGAAGCTTTTGAGTTTTATGTTGTCTCATGTGTCCTTCTATCTTTCTATGAGTGCCTATTAATGCAATTCTTGTTATATATATATATATATATATATATATATATATATATATATATATATATATATATATATATACACATGGTGCTAGTAAACAGCGTCCTGCCTCGCAAACTGAAATATTTTTTATTTTTATTTTAAGTGACTAGACTTTAAAGGTGGAAACCCCTAGTTGGTCCTTTTTTTTCTTCTTCAGGAAGATTCTTAGAGTGGTAGTAGTTCTAACCCCCCCCCCCCCCCAACCCAATCCCTCATCCTGTGGCCCCGATGGCTGTAGTATTATTTTGAGTATAGCTCGATTTGATTGTGTGTTCCCCCTGTGGGTTTCAGGACACTGTTATAAGGAAAACAAGAATAGCCCCACCGCCTATCCAAAAGCATGTCATAAGAGTCGACTAACTGGGAGCTTTCTTCAAAGTCGGAGTGCATCGGCATAAGAGGCAAGGAACCAGCAGTCTGCATACAAATGAGGCAGATCTATAAAACGGATGCACACGCCACACTCAGGTTCTGGAACAGGACTGCTGTCCAGAAGTGGATGAACAACCAGAACTTTCCGCCAGTTTACAGCCGGTGAACGGGAAGAAGAGGAAGATTTTCTTAGTATTTGCCCTTTTTTCCCATTTTTTTTTTTTTTTTTTTTTTTTTTTTGCTTTGTCTTTGTACCTAACTTTGCCATAGTTTGAAAATAGTAACATGCGTGCACGTTTTACACTGGTAAACATTCTCAACGTTTTCTGCAGCTGCTGCAAATAAACAAAATTACACCTGTTCGTGCACCGCCATGTTGCACTACAGCCTTCATTTGTTTCCGTTAGACATAACAAAATTGGTCATGGAGTCGCTAGAGAAAAAAAAGTCGGCACAGATCCAAAACTAAATTACATACAAAGTTGAAATGAAAGTCGAGAGAATCGACTTCATTGCACCGGGTTTTTAATCCCACAAGGTTGGGTTTCTGTCCGTAAGAACGGCTAGGCGCCTGCCGAGACCGTCACACAAAGCACGAATTCCTCAGCTCTGGAGGTGATCCTCATGGCTCTGCTTAAAAGTTGCATTCGCGAACTGAACCGCGTAAACGTGTAGCGAACCTACATTTTTAGAAGTGCTAGGGCAAGCAGCTCAGCCACTTGGCCACGGAGACCCGCAAGAAATTACATACAAAGGCAACAAATCAAATGGTTTGCCCGCATTGAGAGAATTCCTTCTAATATCACACAGTACAAGGCATGCACCACAGGAGGACAGGGAAGTACAGCACGAGCTAGACCAAGAACAAGATGGAAAGATAACATCAGAGCCACGGGTACACAAAATATAAGATTGGCGAATCAGCCATGTGTGCATGTGGATCGGCACCTGAGACAATAGATCACGTCACCCTAGACTGTCCCATAGATTTGAGGTTTGAACAACGGATCAACATCATGGCACACGGATAGTAACCCACAAGTGCTCCGTTCTTCTTCTAACCCAAGTCTGAGTCCGCAGAAGCTCAGCACAGTGCACAGGCTCCGTAGCACCGGGGAGGATCCTGAAATACTTTTGGGTCAATTTTTTTGTCCCAATATACAAGGCAACACATCTGACAAAGAGAAACGCCGGTGCAAGCCAGTTTTTACAGATCCCTGAGTGAATTCAAACAGACGGTGAAGTTCATACTAGGAACAACACTGCAGATATAGATAATCCATTTCAAGCGAACGAAAGAAGAAGATTTATAACATAAGAGCAATTCTACAACACGATTTGTTTATAGTCCATTCGGCCAGGAAAGCAAGAAGCAAAATCTTGTATCCCCTAGACAACTGAGGCTGTAAAAGATTAAGTGAAAAAGAAGATCAAATGGGAACATTTTCAGAAGTACATATGCCATCGCTTTTTTTAATGTGCGGTAAGGGGAAGTGGGGAATCTTTCTTAACTCTTTGAGTCCTAAACATAGTTTCATTAACCCCCTTATGCCCCTAGTTGAACTTAAAACGATCCACAATTAGGTCTGAAAGTGTTGACAGAGGTAATTTGAGACAGAAACAGCTAAAGTAATAATTCAGATATAAAAAGTTCATCAGTGAACAAGCAACTAGAACATCGATTTAAGTCTCTGGAAATGTGGATAAACAGAAAAACTGGTCGTATGCATGCAAAATAAGAAAGAAAAAAGTCCAGTTCAAAGGTTCGGAAAAGACTACAAAAAACACCGAAAATTTAAAAAAAAAAAGACAATTGAAATATTATTATTATTATTATTATCTAAATTCATTACGGAAGAACATTGTTTTGAATTAAAATATTAAGCCACATTAAAAGACATAACACGCTTTAAAAACCATACTGGGTGGGGGTGGGGAGTCGACGGCAAGAGAAGAAGAGGTAGACAACCAAACAAGTGGGAGGACAAAACCAGGAGTTGGACAAACATCAGTTTGAGAGAGTGTACAACCAAAACAAGAGATAGAGCGTGTTGGAGATCCACTGCAGCCCAGCCTTCAGTGTGGAGACGGCACCTGATTGATGACGCAAAAGTCAGTGCAAAATATGTTTGCGACAGAAAACAGCAGAAACGCGACACTATCTTTGGAGTGACATAGAAACGCACACTAAGTTGGTCGGTACTGAAATAGTTAGAGTTCGTCTTAAAGAAGAAAAAAATAGAAGAAGATGAAGGGGAGGATAGGATAAAGAAGAAGAAAGAGAAGGATGAGGCAGAAGAAGTAGGGGGAAAAGGGAAGAAGAAGAAGAAGAAGAAGAAGAAGAAGAAGAAGAAGAAGAAGAAGAAGAAGAAGAAGAAGAAGGAGGAGGAGGATAAAAAGAGGAAGAAGAAAGGGAGGAGAGGGAAATGGATGAGGAGGCTGGCAAGGAAAGGTTTTCCTAAGTTCGGAAAAGTCTGAAAGCTAAGGGTTATCAGGTGGGGGTTGTATAGTGATTTGTGCCAAGCTCTTTGCCGAGAGAGACCAAGTCATATACAAATAAAAAAGCCGGTGCAAAGAAGTGGAACCTGTCTGGTGTAAACACCTTGCAGCCATCGACAGCCGGGGATCAAAGTGAAACACCTCGGTTCACCTTCACTCCGAAAACATCATTGGCTTGATTGATGATCATTTCAGGCGCGACGACACTGAGAAAACCTTGGAGAAGGGGAGGAAGGAGGAGACTCAGCCACTTTACACATTTTCTGGGGAGGGGAACTACAGGGACCCACGTCTTTTAAGTACCTAATAATAATAATAATAATAATAATAATAATAATAATAATAATAATAATAATAATAATAATAAAATAATTATAATAATTATAATAGTATAAGTAGTAGTAATAAAAATTAAAAACAGCTACAAAAACGACAGTGTGCTGGATGACACCTAAGTATAAGCAAATATTTGAGACAAACTTTAAGACATACATTCTTATCGGGGTTGAGGGGGTAGTGGGTATGGGGTGGGGTGGAGTGCGGGGGGGGGGGGGGATTAGGTAACCGATTACACGTCGAGTTGAAGAGGACTGAGTTCCCATCCCACCCTATTGTATTTACTCTCCATTTTTGGTGGAGAAAGAGGGGCTAAATGTTTCTAAGCTCTCAAGTTCCGTCGCCCTTGGTTCATATTTGTATGGGTATCCTGCCGCGGCGCCACATTTGATGCCAACAGCTAGTACCTTGCCATAGTTTGCAAATAGCTGCAGACAGACAGGCTAGGTAGTTTACACTCTTTATCATCCTTAACCTCTTTCGCAGCTGCCGCGAAGGAAATGAACTTACACCTGTTCGTTAACTGCCGCACGCGTGCATTTGTTTCACTTAGGAAAACGTCTAGAACTGTTTCATACTACAGTGGAGTGTCGGCCCGTATTTGCATCATCTCACTGTGCCATCTTTCTTTTCCTTAAGCCGTTTGTGTCCTCACTCTGAATGTTGTGTGTGTACGGTGTCGAATTATGTCGTTCGTTTCATGAGCGTGGGTGTTTCGAAGAACCCTGGGTCGTCGTTGGAGCAATGGAGATTTGTGCTTCATTTATACCTTTCTGCGGGTCGATAAACACTTTTTTAAAGGAGTCTTGTCCAAAAGTCGCTCTTTTAACCAGTATACTGAAGACGGTCATGCTTCAACGCAGTTTTAAAATCTGTTGAATAGAAATTAGAGCTACTGACAAAATGAATGTTGCGGATAGACAGCATTCATCAGCAAATAACAACACGGACTGTTACAGTTACAAAAACTATCAAGCGAGGCGTTAGATACAGAAGCAACATTGCCTAGAGATCAGTCAGTTTTAGAATGGTTGGCTTTGCACAGGACAAAAATGACAAATCAGCAACATAAATTGAGGTTTTTAAGTTATTTGAGCAACACATCACCATCATGGCACACGGGTTTAACCCACAAGTGCTCCGTTCTTCTTCTAACTCAAGTGTGAGTCCGAAGAAGCTCAGCACAGTTCACAGGCTCTGTAGCACCAGCGAGCATCCCAAAATACTTTAGTTATATTTTTAACTGGCCATGGATTTTTTTAGGTGCGCAACAATGCACACGAGCATCCGATCTCACTACCCAGAGACCGGGGGAATAACTGAAGTCCAAGTCCACGTGAAAAAACCTAGCCCTTATCGGAAATTGAACCCGAAACCTCTAGCACTCGAGGCGGACACCATGCCTCGAGACCACGCAGCCCCTTACATACTAGGATTAGACACAGACGAATGACCTGTAGTTATACTCACTAGAATCGTTTGTTTTCTCTATTTCAGAATGGAATCGTCCACCGAGATTTGAAGTTGGAAAATATCATCCTAGACAACGAGGGAAATGTCAAGGTAAATAATAGAGAGAGGTTATTGTTTTGTGGGGAAGCAAAAGTGTCTCGTTGTTTCTCTGCCTTGCTGATTCATATCTAATGTTATGTTTGCAGCTTTTTGTCTGTCTACCTGCCTTCATCGATGATCTATCTATCTATCTATCTATCTATCTATCTATCTATCTATCTATCTATCTATCTATCTATCTATCTATCTATCCTCTATCTATCTATCTATCTATCTATCTATCTATCTATCTAATCTATCTATCTAATCTATCTATCTATCTATCTATCTATCTATCTATCTATCTATCTATCTAATCTATCTATCTATCTATCCATCTAATCTATCTATCTATCTATCTATCTATCTATCTATCCATCCCTCCATATCATCCATCCATCTATCTATCTATCCTATCTATCTATCTATCTTATCTATCTATCTATCTATCTATCTATCTATCTATCTACTATCTATCTATCGGATCTATCTATCTATCTATCTATCTATCATCTATCTATCTATGTCTATCTATCTATCTATGTTATCTATATCTATCTATCTATATCTATCTGTCCTGTCTGTCTTTTCTGTCTGTCTGTCTGTCTGTCTGTCTGTCTGTCTGTCTGTCTGTTCTGTATTCTGTCTGCCTGTCTGTCTAAAACTAGTACCGCAGCTCTTTTGTTACAGCTGGGAATCCATTTACACTCATTAAAGCGTCACATTATTTACCCATTTACACTAATGTATTTACGCTAATGTATTTACACTAATGTATTTACGCTAATGTATTGACACATTTACACTAATGTACTTATCCATTTACACTTATGTATTCACCCATTTACACTAATGTATTTACCCATTTACACTAATGTAATTACCCATTTACACTAATGTATGTACAGATCGCTGACTTTGGACTCTCCAATTACTTCAGTCATGACTCAACACTATCAACTTTCTGTGGAAGTCCACTGTACGCATCCCCAGAAATAGTCAACGGGAAGCCCTATCACGGACCAGAGGTATTAGAGCGAATATTTGCTTGTTGCATGTTCGTTACATGACGTCTATGTGTGTGTGTGCTGTTTGTGGTTCCATGGAAAGTCGTTCAGTTAGTTAGTTGAATACCTTTTTAAAGACATTGCAGAACTAACCCCAGCAAATTTGTGTTTCTCTCTGTTGCGGTGTTTTATGCAAATCTGCGTTCACTAGTTTGCCGTTGCTTTCTTAAAGGAAAGCTCTGGGTACTACTGTTGAAACCAACGTGAGACATTTTGTTGTCATAATCGCTTGCAGCTGGGAACAAACCCAATTGATTCAGTAGTTTGTCAATTTGAACTGACAGGTCAGTATTTATCTCACTCGAAAAACTCGCGGGGCGTGCTTTAATAATTAGAAGCTGGTATCTTGCGTCCAAAGGGACTCGCATCAATTGATAAAACTCAGGTAAGAAGTATATTGTAGATGTTATTACCCCCCTCCCCCCCCCCCTTTTTTTTCACCACCCCATAGAATATTTGGGTGTACGTGGTCATGAACAGGCTGATAGATTAGCTGCTGCCCTCCTTCGGGGCTGCGAGCTACTTCATGGTAAAGTGGATTTGAGTGAAGAAATTGGGATCAAGTAAATAGTGCAACATAACAGAGAATCCATACCTGGAGATTAGGCTGGACATTAGCAGAGTGTCTGGTGGATGACACAGAGAAAACATCGTGGTGAAGCGCCAGATGGGGTGGGGGGAGGGGGGTTGCGCGCACCCTCCTTACAAAAAAAGGTTAGTTACGTATCCTTTACAGGACGTTGCAGAACCAACCCTAACAGCCCCTGGCTGTTGTTTAGTTTTCTCTAGGCATATTTACGTCCACTGGTTTGCCATTGCTTACTGGACGGTCGGCTTTCTTGATATCACTTTCGAAACCAAGCGCAAGGCGCGTGGCCCGTAGCTGGGATCGAACCCGGCATCCCGGCATTACGAAGCGTTGGCATCGACTTAGCCGCAGAGCCGACACCCTCCTTACAATGACTTCAAATGGGACCTCAGTCGTGTTTACGTGTTTAATAATTATAATATTAGTAATAACTGTAATACCAATAATAATAACAAAGTAATTACCGGAAAAAAAGTATAATTATACATTTGAAAAATAATACACAAAAAACTTAAAAAGACATCGTCTTTACCTGTTGGGGTGGAAAAGGGGGGGGGCGGAATGGGGGCATCATGACGCCTTTATAAATTGGGAGTGAGGCCTGAGAACCATCTAATTATGACATATTAGGCTCAATGTGCCTAAGCTCCCAGGTGTTTCATAGCGCCCCTGATTCAGCCCTATTCGCACACATCTATGACGTAAGCAAACGAAACTGACAGGTGTCATTCATGCTGATTAATTAAGTATAAATACAGAACAAGATGGTGTACACACACTTACCGCAAGCGCCCCCTGCCTTGAGAAAGTTTCTGATTCTGTAAAAGTAAATGATCAAATACTCGTAACAGTGTTTTAGGGATGCAGGAACGCCGACACAAGGAAAATATTGGGGGGGGGGGGATGGCTCAAAAGCTCTTATAATTATCTAATGAACGAGAGCTGGAGTTTCAAGGGGCTTGAGCATAGTTTTAGTTCGCAATAATAATTATTGCTAAAGGGTACTTTATTCTTATGCATTTCTTCTTCTTTCGCTCGCTTGAAATAGATTATTCACCCGTGAAGTTTGGCTTGTGCAAGTGTTTATACATTTGAACACAATATTAACTGTCTATGCATATTTAGAAAGACTATTTAGACGCTTTTGAATTTTCTAGACAGAAGTGGGGAGTCGTCGGCCTCCTTAAATGGACTGAGGTTAGCAACCCCCCCCCCCCCCCAACCCCTCACTCCCACTTCCCCCGCCGCTTCGAATTGTTTGAGGAGAGGCTTAAGCTGCTGGCAGGTCCCAAGTTTCAGCGCCTCTGCTGGGTTGTGTGTTCTGGTGGGGTTTGATTCGTATCCTGTCCCTGAGTGACAGATGCCGTGTTGAAGATAGTCCATGGTGACCTAGTCTATTGACGACTTTAACAAGTGGAGGATATGTATTTAAGCTAAAACCGCCGGGGAAAGGATTGAGCCCAAATTGCCAAGAAGAAATGAGGGTACTTTCTTACTAGCCGACCACAAACAGAAGAAATCCACGGGTCACGGGACAGTCAAATATATCAGGGGGTGGTAGTTTTGGTTAGGGTTAAGGTAAGAGTTAGTTAGGGTTAGGTAAACGCGCAAAAACCTTAGCCTGGGAAGAAACGCACTAAAGCACAGAAAACACGAAAAACCCGCTCTTACCACCCTTTAAAATATTGGACTGTCCCGTGACGTCATTTAAAAAGGAAAGCAACGAAATGTGCGATGTGGGATAAAGTAAGTTGATACGTTAACTGCTTTCAGATCATGCTTTCTAATAGAGCAATTTTCACTTTGGGTACTTTCATTTTAGCTCACGGGGAACCCCAGAACGCCCGGCAAATTCCAATATTATAGGGGTGTAAGGGTTAGGGGTTTGGTTAGTCTGTATTCATTTCAAACCGTAACACTCCTATGATATTGGACTTTCCGGGGGATTCCTGGGTTCCCCGTGTTTTGGGTGAGCTAAAATAAAAGTACCTACGTTGCGCATATCAGTGTATCTGCACGTTAAGATGAAAATACGAGTGTCTGAGAAGATCTTATTGGCAAGGCAACCTCACGACTACTGTACTCGCCGCTTACACTCTCTATCGCAAAAGAACAATCGGTTCTATCCCAATATCTCCCCCCAAACAGACAGTGGATTATTTTAGAGGGTGGTAGATAAGCTGCATGCAGTCGTGGGACCTAGGCTGCACTCTCTCGTGGGGCGTTGGTGGGTTGGGGTTAGGCCCAGTTCTTTATGTTTTGGGGCAGTCAAAAGCAATAGACAGTCTGGAAACCCGCTTTTACCATCCTTGAAAATATGGACTGTCCTGTGTCGTCATCCTGGAAAAAAAAGGGGGGGGGGCAATGGGAAAGCACCCCACCCCCCAAAAAAAAACATCAATTTATTGCTGTTTACTATTATAACAAATACGCCCCCCCCCCCCCCCCCCCCGGTTTACATCTCGCCGAGAACATAAAGCGTCTTAACGGTGTTAACATGGAGAAAAGAACGATCAGTGCATGTTTGATAATAATAAAACAAGAACACTGTAAAATCAAATACATACTATTTATAAAAGACACTGTGCTTATATCTTCAGGTCGATGTGTGGTCTTTGGGAGTCATTCTCTATACTCTTGTCTACGGCGCCATGCCCTTCGAGTCTAGCAACGTCGCCATCCTGAGACAGCAGATCTCTCATGGTCTCTACAGCGAACCAGTTCAAGCATCTGGTAAGTGAGATCAAAGTTTAATCTTCATTTTTGGCTTGTCTCTTTTGTTAGGAACCCATAAGCTTCCTAGTAAAGTAAAATATCCTTTTCAACGCCTTTAGACGTATTGAGCATATAGGGCTAAACCTATATTTTATAGACCAATAGGCACTTGGTGGGTGATATAGTCAGCATCACGGATACCACCTTTACTTCCCAGGACTGCACTCAAGGCTGGGTAGACCTGGGAGCCAAAATCATCCTTGAAAAAACGTCTGGCTCCATGAGGACACGTGCACAAAACAACAGAACGTTTCGAACAAAGTCTTCGTCGACTGAGTACTAAATACAACATAAACCGCGGCTGGATTTAGTTCTCTGTTTTCAAAGATTTTGTCCAAAACGTTTGGTTGCTTTCTTTTTTTTTTTTCTTCCCTCCGTTGAGCTTTATGGTCACATTTTGTTTTTTAATAATTTTTGTTATCACCTCGACTGCAGCCACCCAATATTTACGTCATCACTTTAGATTATGTGAAGATATTTTTTTATGATACGACTCTGCAACATGTCATCTGTCTGTGTTTCTGTCTGCTTGTTCCTCTATCCATCTGTCTTTGCCTCCGTCTGTGTGTTTCTCAGCATTC